TCACTACAAGGTCTCCGAGTCAAGCTTATCTCTCTACTCGTGGAAGTAAAGGCAGGACTCTAGGAGATTCCAGCGCCCGTCTCTCAGCTGAATTTTTAAATATTAAATTATTAAAAAAAAAATGTTTAATTACTATTGAAATAATCAGTGTTATTCAGAAATAAACGCTACAAATAAAGAATTTCTTAATTTCTTATTTTAAAAATATTGCTTTTGGTATTACTATTGGCCGGTGTTCCTCAACGTAGTATCCTAGCTCCTATCCTTTACACAGTTTATACAGCTGACATCCCAACCCAATCCAACACGGTCATCACCACCTATGCCGATGACACGTGTATCCTATCAGTTAATAACGATCCATCTATTGCATCCCAAACTCTTCAATCACACATCACAATCCTTGAAAAATGGTGTCAAAACTGGAGGATTAAAATAAATTCCAATAAATCCCATCAAATAACCTTCACTCTTCGTCGTAAACCTATGACTTCCTGTCCTACAGTATCCTTCAACAATAGCCCTCTTATCTCTGTCGAACAAATCCGATACTTAGGACTCCACCTTGACAAACGACTCACTTGGAACCCCCATACCAGACTGAAACGACTAGAAACCGCCCGACGTTTTCGACTACTGCAGCACTTACTAGACAAACGATCTAAGCTTTCAATCAATTATAAACGACTCGTATATATGACAATAATAAGACCTATTTGGACTTACGGAATTGAGCTTTGGGGCTCCACTAAACCATCGAATTCCTCTCGTATCCAATCCTTACAATCCAAAATCCTTCGTAAAATCCTCAACGCTCCTTACTTTGTCACAAATAAAATCATCCATGAAGACCTTAATGTTCCATATGTTTCCGATTTGGCCCAATCCAGATACCTGTCCTTCCATAACAAACTGCAGAACCATCCGAATCCTCTCGTTTCAAACCTTGCTTCCTCCTCGATCCCTGATAACCCTCCGATGCGTCTGAAAAGAAGATGGCCTCGGGATCTTCTAATATAGAACTTTAATTTGAGTTCTACCAATGGGTAGTTTCTCTTCATGTTGTACATGTCATATTACTTGTTCATATTTACTTGTTGTATTTATTATTAATACAGTTGTAAATTTTGTTAATAAAAAAAAAAAATATTTCTAAAAAAGTAATTACTATTGGAGTATTGACGTACGTTGAAAATATAGTTTTTCGTGTTTTCTGCAAATTAATCATTAATGATTAAGATGGTCCACTTAGAAAATAAACGAATCAATTGTTATGCTATAAAACCATTTATGGACTATTGTATGATTATTAATTGTTTTAGAAATAATAGCAGTTGTTTTTTTAATTTACCCGATGTACGTTTTAAATGTCAAAATGAAACTATTTAGTCAACGCTTACTTTTCAATCAATCACATCAGTATTTTTAGCGTTGATTTTTTCTTTAAAATAATTGATAAATTAGGATGATTCATTATTTAGATTTTAAAAAAATCATTATAACAAAACATAATGAAGATAGTATTTCATTAAAATAATAAAGCCAATAAAGATAAAGCTTACAGAAAAAGTGCCTTTATAAATCTGTGGCACATCTTTTTAGTAGGACAAGAGTTACAGAATCTTTGGATGAAATTAATGTTGTTAGATTTTTATTCTAGTAGCTTTGGCTTTAATTTTTAAAAACGTAAAGTAATAAAAAAAAATCAATGTACTAAGTTCTAGTGATGAATAAAATTTTTAACATTTCTTCTGAAGATTTCGTAATGGATAAAATAAGAATTATTTGCTTTGTGAAACAAGAGTTATCGGAAAACAAAACAAAATTACGTGTGCATTTATCCCGAGGCGGACATATTGAATAAATATCCGCCTTCGAATTCATAAATTTCTATCATAGTTTGGGTGAATTCGGACGTTGAAACAATAATAATGTAGATGCGTTTCTAGGAAAATCGTTCATTTAATGATAGCAACATATCATGCATGTTAGGGCAATGTTTTTCCTCTGTCTAAAAGCACAGATGTATATATATATATATTCTTTATGGATTCATCTTCTTCCTAAAAGATAGTACATACATCCTCGTTACATCCCCTAACCCTGAAAGATATCCTTCCTAATGCTTTGTTCCTTTATCCTTCACTTATCCTGTGACCGCTGAGAAATATCTTCCGTCGGCTGATATATATTCATTGAGCATGCCACCAGGAACTTATGGCGTCTCATATTTTACGTAGTCATGAGTCTCATAAAAAAAAATAAAAAAAATGGATGAACTGTTTATTAAAAGTTTTATGAGTCAGTGATAAACATATAGTAAAATTAAAAATAAACGCCAAACAATAATAAGTTTATGAAAGTTCCTATAAATCCAAATCATTTCGTAGAAATATTATTCAATTGTCATCGTTTCTGTAAATAATTTGAAACAGTTTCATATTATTCGGGGTGTAATTTAAATTTAAGAATCAGCTTAATCGTTTACCATTTCAAGTCTTTAATTAATCCTTATTCACCTGTATATAGCAAGATCGGTTAGCAAGAAATCTATTTGATTTTGAATATAGCTTAGCTGAATTGAAAAAGAATCTCCCAACCAATGAGTAAGACACTATGTCTATATTCTTTAGGACGACTCTAAACAGAAACCTGGCACTTGAGCTTATTCTCTGACATAATATAAAATGATACATAACGTTATATCGAAATAGTCATCAGTAACGTCTTATAAAACATTATATTTAGACAACCAAGCTAACGAATTCTGAAAGAAGGTTGAAAAAGAACAAGGAAAAAACATTTTTTTTTTTACATTCATTTCGGATGTTGTTGCTGAACAATAATTATTGAGGTAGTTTAGATTGGTCTAACTGTCAAATTACAGACAAATATTAGAAAAAACATATAAATTGCAAAACGGTAAAAAATATTACAATGAAGTTCATTATTTATAGAAAAATGTACCTACATCTAAAATAAAATTAGACACAAAAAATCTAACACCTCCATCTAATAAAATCGAGATTTCAACATGATTATAATATTTACATTTCGTAAGTAGATAAAGCGGTAAGAAATTAAACAAAATCAAATATAATAAAAGTAATATATAATAACAATAATAAATTGGCGTTGATGACCTGAGGGTTTTACGCCTTTAAACAACAAACAAACAATAATAAATAATTTTACATTTTTTTTTTTACTCTCCCTTCCTTGCCTTTTCGACAATACGTAATTACATTTTATTGTATATAATAATATAATTTAACTCTTTTCTGGTTATATTCCTCTTTTCCTATTACATTTCTATCCTGCAGTCACCTCAGATTAAGATTGTGGAAGTCTGCGTCTTACTCCTATATTGAAATTTCATAAATAATTGTACTAAAAACTTTTTTTTTAAATTTAAATACAACACAACTTGAATATAACGATTCAAAATTCTTCAATCCGACACTCTATACTTTTCTCTTTATGAATGTCCGAAACATGACCCTATTATAAAAACTAAGTGGTGAATGTAAATATCGAGTTTCGAGAAACATCCTAGGTTGATCTGTGCTTTTGGAACAAAATCTGCAACAAATATCGGGCCAGTTTTATACATATATAGATACGGTTATATATTTTTATCTCGTTCGATTACAATGGTTCGCAATTGGAAATAATAAACCATAACAATTAGATATTTTAATTTCTACACGATACGTAATCTGGTCCAAAAACAAACTAAAATCAATCTTAGTCGCGTGGAATTTAATAAGATCTGATTTAATATAGAAATGAGGAACAAGTGCCAAGAGGAGATTTCTTTAGGTTGAGGAAATTGAAAGAAAACAAAGTGGCATTAAGTGAATAGATAAAGTTGACCGTTGATCAAATCCATTAGGTAAATTGGTGGAGATGAATATCAATATACTATCCATAAAGTACAATAATAAACTTGCTGTTTAAATAAATAAATAATAATCAATAAAAAAAAACGCTGTATGTATTGAATTTGACTATGATTCTCAACTGTCTTTGACGAAAATATATTTTCTATAAGAGCAATCCAAAAAGTGGAAAATATTTGAACAAGATGTTTGAATGATTCCTATGACGTTTTAAACGGTTGGAAATTATTTTTATTTGAGAATGTTAGGTGTGCATAATTATCTCTTCGAACCGATTCTTTAGTGAAACTTATGTTGCTACATGTTCGCTACATAGCAATTTTTTTAAAAAGTGTTATTTATTCAGATTGGAAGTATTACAGATTATGGTTTCAATGGATCAAATAAGATCCAATTAATGGATTCCATGCTGGATAGGATTATACAGGCTGTAAGGGAATCGGCTTTGCGGTAGATTACTGTTTCAGAATTTTAGAATTGAACCGATTGCAATGAAGGAAGTATCAGCCATGCACGGAAAGATTCAGATGGAAAGAGGAAAGCAAATTTGAGAGGGGGAGTTTGTTCCATTATTATTCAAGGAAGGCTCGAAAAAAAAAAAAAAAAAAAGAGATAGGATGAAATAGCTTTGGTTATTATGAATGCCTCATTAAAAGGCAAAAAAACACATAAAAGGCCAAAAAGCAGATGGGTAGATATGATCAACAAAAATGCAATAGAGCTGCGTGCAGAAAAATTGAAAGAAATAGCCCAAGACAGGAAGAGATACAGCAGGCTTGTTAAGGCAGCAAAAGATCTGCACGGTATGGAATGCCAACAGAAAAAAACAACAAAAAATTATCGACAATTGGAGCACAAGACACAAAAATAATTAGATAAAGTATTTCTAAAACCATTTAATGAACTAATATCTTCTTAAAACTTTTTTAATAAGTTTACTGAGCTTTATAGTAGCTGATATGATATTTTTAACACACTGAATCTCACAAAAATAAATTCACAAAATGTTCCCTGTTTATGATTTACAAACTAAAAATAATAATTAATTATATCCTGCCTTCTAATTTCTATATTTTAAATAATGTTTCGATCACGTACCGATGATATCCGCGGGTCTTACTCCCTGATCTCTGCGTCACAGAAGACATGTCTGAGAACTGTGTCACTACTTTTAACTTCTCTAATAATTAACTATTAATGAGCAACTATAAGAAAATGCTAGGGATGATTATTAACCATCTGTATAAACGCTAAAATAATATTTAATAATAATATCATGTGGACAAAGTTATGTTAGCGAAGAAACAAAGCGTTTTTTCATTGTTTACCTAGTCCTCTCATAAATATTATTACAAGGAAATATATACAGATTCAATAGAAAAATTAAAAATTTTCAAAAACTTCATCAGAGAATAAAATTTATATCTATAGAGAGTAAAACAAAAAATAAATTACTCAAAATGTTCCCCTTTTGCCTCGACACGAGCATTTAATTTCCGTAGTCAGCACGCAGCACTTCTTAAGGAAAGCTCAAGATCAACTGAAAGCTCATCAACTGCTCTGACCAGAGATTGAGGCTTTCCAATCCAGAGTGTGTTCTGTGGCATGCCATCCTCTCCAGTTCGGACCAAAGCCGATAATCTGGTAGGTTGAGATCAGGGCTTCCTGAGGGCCAATCCGAGGCAGAGATGAACTCTGGAATGTTCTTTTACAGTCACTACTGAGTTGACCTGGCTTTGTGAGCTGGAGCGGAATCCTGGTAGAAAACCCAATGACTTCCAGCAAACCGAGTATCATTTAGAGTTCTGACAACAGGTTCCAAAATATCGTCCTGATTGATTTTAGCGGCTGTTTTAACACCTTTTTCACAAATATGAAGCTCTGTGGTGCTATCAAAGCAAACTCTCCACCAAACCATCAGTGTTGAAGGGTGCTGACCTCTTTCCACTCTTCCAATGACTTCCAATGCAAACACGATCATTTAGGCGAATACATTTTTCTTCAATTGTAAACATTTTCTCATCGCTAAACAATATCTTCCGATGAAGACCATTGGTGTAACGGCCAAGGAGCACTTTGCATCTATCCACTCTAATATTTTTTAAGCAAGTGGCTAGCCTTTGTCCTGTCATTCTTCGAAATGGACTCATCCTAACGTGACTTTTCATGACGTGGGACTTTGATCTGACAGAGATTTTCATGATTTGTTGTTTTCGAATGGTATTTCTTCTGATTCGAGTATCCACTCCTCTCACTGCATTTGCCGTCATCACAGTGCGGGGACGGCCCGGTCGAGGTGTGTCACATACAGACAGGTCTCCGCACAGGGGATCCGCTCTGTTCAAAATTACAAAAGCTATACGTCGCTTTAAGAATAAAACATTATTCAACATGCTCTCCCGGAAAGTATTGAGTTCTTGGATTAGATCTTAACACTGACGATAAGAATTTCATATTTCATACTACAAAAAGACTGATAGATAAATATAAGAATATTTTGTAAATAATTATGCAATTTTCATTTTCTTATTTTTTTTAAATACCAAGAAATTATTTATTTCATATATTTTTAATTTTGTTCCATTCCCATTTGAGACGTTGTGATCTTGGACCACCTGAATCAATCTTTTCCACTTCTGCCAGTCTTGAAATACTTCTTTCCAGTTTGCTGTATACAACTCTGCATTATCTTTATTAATTTTATATATGTATCAGCTTATCGGTCTCCCTCAGCTTGTTAGATCACGTGGCCAACTATTTTGGCATTCTTTGTTGTATAGAGTTTTCTTGATGTATTGCTTCGAACTAAATGCCTCCCTTCCGTTTTCTAATTTTGCTCACCATCGTGTCATGATATTTAGGCTGTTTCTGAAGGCAGTTCTTTATTGTTATTTCTCCTCCATGCGTTAAGAATCTGATTTCTTTCTATCCTACAAAGGACATTCAGATATCGCAGCCGTAAATCAGCACTTGCTTTTTCGTACACAATAATTTGTGATTTATAGAGATTTTTTTGTATTTCTACTACCAATCAAAAAGAGAAAAATGATTGAAGGAATCCATTTCCCTTCGTTCATTGAAGGAATCTATTTCCCTTACAGTTGAGTTTGTAACACTACAAGTGAAACAACTTGCCAACGTTCCGCCAATTCAGATACCATCAGGGCAGAAAAAATATGATCAAATATATGCAGATAAAATTGCTATTGACATCTCATCAAGACATATAAATACACCCTGGAGAAAACAGAAGGTTCTATAAACGTCTTTTTAGTAACATTATTTGTGGACTAGCCGTGAACCCCTTCAATTTTGTTTGTTGTGTGTTTATAGACACCCATTTTTGAGCTTTTTCTTTTGTATTATGCATTCTTAGGTATGTTTTTTTTTTTTCACTTTCCTTTTATCACTGCTAGTGTTGCAAGACCAAGACGAGGACTGGTAAAAAAAAAAAAATCGATTTTTAAAAATAAATAATAAGGCAAAATGGTTGCTAATACTTGACAATCTTAGTTACTATATGTTAATAATTGGTATAACCAATATACTTTTCCATTTAACTCCTCTAATTTTTCATTCGGGCTTAGTTAAGTTTCTCCTATCTAAGATATTACAGTAATATCTCTATAGTAATAAGATAATAATTAACTGCAAGAATGTGGTGAGACTCTTGCGCAATACCAAGACCATGACCAAGACTAAGTTTGTAAGACCAAGACTCGTCTCGGGCATTATTATACGTGATTAGTCTCGCATTTGGGCAACACTAATCACTGCTAATCATTTGTTCCATATATCTTTCCTCTGCTGTGTTAGTGGAAACTTTTGTTTCCTTCGGTATGTATTAGGATGGTTTGGTGAGATGCCAATAATAATTTTATTACTGCGTATCAATTGGCTAAACCTTAGCAAGTTAGTTAATTCATGAAGAACGCAATTACTATGTCTCTGTTCGAACTGCATGCGTATTTGAGTATTATGTCTAATATCCATTGCAATTTACTGCAATGTCCAATCTGACTTAAAGATAGCAAGATGGATAAGCTCCTTTGTCTAAATAGCCACTTCTACAACTACTCGTTGTCTCTGAAGAAATGTATTTTCAACAATAAAGAGGAGTGATAAAAATATGTATAATAAAACAAATAATGATTATCATTATAATCATTTTTTTTCAAATTCTTTTTAGAACGAATAATAAAATGAGCCGTGAATAAGAGAATAAGGCTAACCGGTTATTCAGAAGGGGTTGTTGAAAATAGCCTACAGAGTGAGGGGGGGGGACGGAAGGGCGATAATAAATAGAACTGATTTAGTGAAGCCCCCAGTTTCCTGAATTTAAACCCCTCGGACACTGAAAACCTCCCTTGGCCCAGTTTCTAATGAGACCTTGCCTTTTTATGGCTTATAAACTTTATTCTTTTTAAGGTTCTCTTAACCTTTATTTTTATATTTTTACATTAATCTAGGCATTCATTTTTGTACCTTTTTCTATTAAAAAAAATATATATATTCTTTAGAAAAAAAAATTCTTTCATAGGAAAAAAAATATTACTAACTCTCTATAAAGTTTTACTTAAATCAATTTTGAATTATGTCATGCAAGAAGTATGGGATTCAGCTAAAACTTCCAATATTAAAAAAAAATCCAGTGTTTCCAATCCAAAATTTTACGAAGGATAGTTGATAGTTGATACCGTTTTATATCGCAAACGATAGACTACATAAAGACTTGAACATACCAACTATTTTAGACACGGCAAAAGAAAACTACAATAACCTTCACCAAAGACTAACTTACAACACAAATCCTCTGAAAGAAAACCTTAAACGCACGCAAGAAATCCGTACAGCCCACCTCGGCGATTACGTAGGCGGTGGCCAAGAGACATGGTTGAACTGAACTATTTTATGGATTGTGATGGGACGGTGTGAAGTTGCCAAAAAATGTCCTCATTGCAAAGAAATTTGCAGATCACAAATTTAATTGTATGCCCAATTTTATGTTTATGTATTAATAATAATTATAATTTTTGGGTTAATGATTGGAATGGAAACTATACTATTGAGTAGTCCAGCATTTTTCACAAGAACAATAGCTATAATCTGAAAATAGTTCATTCATATCATTTTTACAGAAATAAATAAATAAATTAATTAAAAACAAAAAAAAAAAATAGTAATTTTGTTTTATTTACTTATTTAATCTTTGTTTGTTTTCAGGGAAGATCCCCATACAAATAACTAAATAATAATATTATGAACGAAAATTTTGATTAATTAACACATAGCTAAAGATCTCGTCATTAACAAAAAAAATAACATGAATGTATTGCTAAGGTTTTGCATTGAGCAGATTCTCCACTCAAGCCATCCATTGTCTTTGTTTACAGCATCTCTGTTTAGCCTCCATTGCAAAGATGGGCAAATGCTACCAAGTATTTCACTCAAATCGAATCACTATTGGGAATTCGATCACTACTTAAGTTAATCGTTAGACATCAACTGAAGTAGTAATTAAAATATTTAGTACTCAAAAAAGGTTAGTAATTGAGTAAAATATTTTGTACTCAGTACTCAAAGTATCATTTACCCATTTCTTATTGCAATAGAGGGTTGCAATGCAATCAATAAACAAATACAGCTTGTTCTTCCACATGTAGCTGGAAAAGTCAGCTCGCTGTTTTTGTTTATATATTTTTAGTATTATTGTTTTGAGATAGTTATATTTAATTGATTTTTATTTACTGTACAGTAAGATAGTGTGAAGTGAGGGTGTTTTTATTCATTACATTGTGTGAATGGGCTAATCTATATCCATTACTAACTTCCTTTGTTGTGATAATATGTAATATTATTCAAAAAAATAAATTAAAAAAAACAGTTTTTTAAAAAGAAAGTAGAAACATTTCATTTTATTTTATCTATTTTCTTTTTTTCCTTTTTTTTCTCTTCCTCACTATGATATTTTATTTTGATCTTATTTCGCTTAATATTATTTTTTTATTACCTTATTTATTTATGATTCTGTGAATATGGTATGAATCTGCTCTCTGGACTCTACTATAAGTGTCCTTAATTGAGACAGGTTATAGTATTTATCAATAAACAAGTGAAAAAAAGAGTGTTAAAATAAATAGCAATGTCAAAGTTTCGGAGGTTTCTCCCATCTTCGAGATCATACACCGGAAAATGGACAATAATAAATTTATTATAT